CAGTTTGTCTTCTGTTCATAAGTCGGTTTTTGCCATGGCGTTATCAGTTTGTCTTTTGGTCATTAGTTGGTCTTTGCCATGGCGTTATCAGTTTGTCTTTTGTTCATTAGTCGGTTTTTGCCATGGCGTTATCAGTTTGTCTTTTGGTCATTAGTCGGTTTTTGCCATGGCGTTATCAGTTTGTCTTTTGGTCATTAGTCGGTTTTTGTCATGGCGTTATCAGTTTGTCTTTTGGTCATTAGTTGGTTTTTGCCATGGCGTTATCAGTTTGTCTTTTGTTCATTAGTCGGTTTTTGCCATGGCGTTATCAGTTTGTCTTTTGGTCATTAGTCGGTTTTTGCCATGGCGTTATCAGTTTGTCCTTACTTATAAATTTGAATATCCCTTTGGTATCTTTTGTGTCTCTTGTAAAGAGACTTAGCGTACCTGCCTGATTATATAATGTATTACATGACGCTTTATACATTACATGAGAGGTGTTGCTAGTGAAGCAGAAGCTGCTTACCCTTTCGTAGCACTCGAGGTGACCCTCGGTTTTAGTTGGATTTCGTGTTGATCAGTCGTGAGTTTTGTATTCGTATTGTTTATGTGAACTGTTATTCGTCTTTTTCTTTTTTTTTTTCTTTTTTTTTGGTTCATAAGTTATTCAAACAGTGTTAAGTGTTATATTCATATTTCTAAAATATATTAGGTACAATCAAAAGTCTAATGTATTGTTGACTTATTCGCTGTTTACGGTTTTTTTCATGACGTTGTCAGTTTCTCTTGAGTTGTGCGTTTTAAATCTCCTGGGTATCATCCGCCTCTTTTTGATTTCTATTGTTAAACGGGAATTAGCTGTCGAATTCGTGTTCACCGATTTGACTCAAATTCTCATATTTGATTCATAACATACTAAATCTTACATCGACATTATAAAAAGTCTGAAAGAAAAAAAACAATTTACGATGCATGTACTCGATAATATGTACCAGCATTTCGTGTGTATTTTAGTCTAGACGCCATCTATTTAAATGAATACGGGTTAAATAAGGTCGGATTATTCACTTCCAAGTGAATTATTCATCATCGATGTTTTTTAGCTTATAGTGACAAAATTGGACCAAACTGGCTACTAAAAGCGAATTATTATTTCACTTTCATTTATGATTGAAGCAAACAAAAAACTATATTTTTCTTTACATATCTCGTAGCTAATTCCCTTTTGAAGGTCACATTAATTCCTAAAAGTCAAATAATAAAAAAAACAAATCCGTGAAAAAGATCCTATCGTCTGTTTCTATCTAATTTGCATTAATATGAAACAGGAATTTCATGGGATTTTTTCATTATTTCAATCACAATGGAATGTTACTTTAGAAAGGCGTTACCAATAATTTCAGAGAAATAAATAAAACTGTAGAAAAAAATGGTCGAAAGTACGGATGGGTATTTTTCAGTCCATGTTGAAAACTCCAAATATTGACAAAATACTTCCAGTTTAAATCAGTGTAAATAATGATATGGTCGTAAAAAATTCATAGGCAATAATATACAATAATGCGTTGATAAGTGAACCAGAACCAATGTTTGTAACAAAAGACAGCATGTATTATCTATGATGAAAGGAAATTATATACCGAGTATTTTTTTCCGGATCTATTGATGGTATAATTGTGTGAAATATTTGGAAGAAGTAATATAGTTGATACCAGCTGTGTCCTTGATCATGATTTGCAAATTTGTCATGTAGCACATTGTGTCAGTTACTATAATACAACTTATATATTTTGTTTTAATTTGTCATTACAGCATACTCTATAAAAAATAATAAAAAAAAGAATGGGGTAAAAGATCTTTTGATTTAAAACCACTGAAAATTTTTCAATCGAATAAAAAGTTGAATGAAGTTTACTTAAAAACACCACACGTTTGCAGACATAGAATTGTTTACTTTTTTACACAGAAGATGTGGTATGAGTGCCAATGAAACAACTCTCCATCCAAGTCACAATTTGTAAAAGTAAACCATTATAGGTCAAAGCCTTGGCTCACACCGAACATCAAGCTATAAAGGGCCCGAAAAGGACAAGTGTAAAACCATTCAAACAGGAAAACTAACGGTCTAATCTATATAAAAAAAAACGAGAAACAAGAAACACTTATGAACCACATCAACAAACGACAACCACTGTACAACAGGTTCCTGACTCAGGACAGGTGCAAATAAATGCAGCGGGTTTAAACGTTTTAACAGGTGCCAACAGTCACCCTACCTGAAACTATAGTGTAACATTACAACATAGAAAGACACACTATAAAATATCAATTGAAATGGCTTAACTCAATCAAAAGACATATAAACTAAAACAAGTGAACATACACTGAACGAATAAATTTGATCTATGACACCATGTAAATACAAAATTGATAAAACAAGGGGGTTCGATGTTAAACAACACAAAAAAGACAACCATAACCTTGGACAAAATGCCGCCAAATAAAATAACGTACACAGGCAAATAAAAATAATTTTGCTGAAAGGTATACAAGGAGTACGGAAATAATTTTTACAAAATAAATAATTTAGTTGTTCCTTAGTACGAGAACAAAAGTGAAAATTTTATCGTCATACTAAACACTTGCATCAACAGGTCAAATTAACATGCACGAAAGTAAGATTTTAGAGTACTCGCAGTTACTGAAAGCTATTTCAAAGCTAAAAACAATCAATAATAAAAGAATCATGCATCAGAGACTAAAATCAACTAAAACACATCCCAGGGATTTAGTGTTTTAACGTCATGGACAGTCAAAGAAGACATGACTTGTGCAATGCCAAAATAAAAGTATCGACAGGCAGTAGGATAGTTAGGAGTTAACCTGTTAATAAATATGTACAATGTTATATATAGAGAGAGTAATCTCTATATAGAAAATGAACGTGGATGTGTATTTATACATCCCAAAAAATCGTTTGAAAAGAAAACAAATTTAGTTATGTTTTAATTTGCTGATGACAAAATGACATGTTTTAATACACATACGAACTGTTATGTACGGAAATATTTTATTTTGTTTAATTGCTATAATAATCAATGTAATCAATATGTATGTAATCACTTGTATGAAATTTAACTTAATTGTTCTGCTCAATATTGGGCGTCATAATTGACAATAAAAGACTGTTCGTTTTTATGTTGATACGACTTTACAGTTCTTGAGACGATTGACTTTTCAGTTACAGGAGACTAATGATATATTTTGATGCTTTGAGCAAAACAAACCAAAAACGTTAACAATTTCCGATAACAAGAACAAAAAAAAAATAACAAACAAACAAGATTATTTCAATATATTTAACACACAAGCACAAAATTTCAGATACTCTATAATGATTTGTACAGAGATAAAAGCTGTGAACAAACACTTTATCAAATAAAGTAAATAGTAAAAAATAAAAAATAAAAGGCTACATGCGAATAATGTCTGTCGACAAAGACCTCACTATCACCTTCTATAGTCATAAGATGAAACAGTGAACCAGTCGATACGTCATCGCTAGATATTATTCATGAGCAAGGGTACAATGTCAAAGCTTTTAAAAATGATAATGATTCAGTGTGTGGGGCAGGGATTAGGAATGGGAGGGTCGTAGGGGGCTTACGCTCCACCCCTTTGATTGAAAAGATATATCATTTTTAGCATAAAATCGTCCACAAAAATGTTCGCCTTGCTACGCTCGGTGGTATAAATATTTCATTTTATTGAATTACACTCAATAGAACATCATGAGAGTAGTGGCCAATGACCTACTTTTTACACCGTGCACCATACTGGTGTTTATTTCAGTATTCCGATAGTTACTTCAGCAACGTATTGTAGTTGTTTTCCGGAGATGGGCTTCTTTTTGATTGGACTCTATTTTCCTCCCACATGTGTCACATCCAGATGCATATAGTATCCGTTACAAGTTATAGCTTTTCTAAAAAGCTTGCTGATTAATAGCTTATTATGTGGAAAATTGTTATTTTTTTCTCTATAGTCTCATCCATTCAGAATATTGCTCTGCATATGAATTGTTATGGGGAAAAAGTGAACAAGAGGAAAAGTCAATATAATATTGTAAGGGTATAGCTTTACTTAGGTAAATCACCACGTATGCACTTTATAAACTTTAAAGGGGCATTAGCTACGATATCGGGTTAAATGACCGTCGGCAGTTTTCGGAGGTTATCTCGATGGTTTATTAAACGGCGTCTAGACTAAAACACACACGAAATATTGATAGATATTATTAACTCCATGCATTATTAACTGTTTATTTTAGACTTATTGTAATTTGGATATACATTTCAGTATGTTATAAATCAGATATGATAATTTGAGTCAAATCGATGAACATTAATTTGACAGCTAATGCCCCTTTTACAAAATCACTGATTTCGGCTACTTATAGATACTAAGTGTGAACTATTATTATTCTGTATAACGATACGCATGAGTGATAACTGTAACTTAATTGATGCTTTGTAACTCAGGAAGTTATAATTATAGACCTAAAACACACTATATACTTAAATTATTTTCTTATCAGATGCAAACACAATTGAATAATTAAGACAAAACAAAAATTTATTATATTTAATTACTTTCGTGTTTGACCTTGCGTCATTAAAATATCGATTCAAAACTTTACTTTCAACTTGAATGAACACTTCACTGTCATTTTCATGACCTACTGTCATGATTTTTTTCGGCCTCAATTACGGACACGCACACATATAATAGATGCACCACAATATTATCCAATCAGACGTTGAGAAAACCATAACTTCATCTAATATTAACCAATGAGATTCACCCCATTGTGATTTGAAGTGAATGAATATTTAGACCGGGTGTCATGTGACCCGGTAATGATAAATACAATAGAAAAACTTCTGTCAGAGTCAACCAATAATCTCAGCTTATCATTCAAGGTGACATACCAAACAATCTATTAAAATTACTTTACTTACCATGTGGTATATACTTTTAATGACCTTCCTTGTATAAAGGAAAGTATTAAACAACTCATTCAGTTTCTTCCATTCAATATAACTAACCTTGATAATGTGTAATATAGTATCGTGAGAACGTGTTATATGTATTAATGACATGTAATAAGGAAAAGCTTTATATAGAATAAAAACTATTACCTTTTCGTCTGTAAGTTTAAAAGGCTTCCTTAAATAACGCGATCTTCGATCTTTTAAGTCGGTACGATTGTAAATATATGTACGATAAAAAGCGAAAAAAATGAATATGGTGTATTAATTCATGACATAAAATCTTACACTCAGTTGGCAAGACAAAAATCGAAGAAAGGGCGTTTTTATTACTTGTCCCATTTTAACAGAATCTGATAAAACTATTTAAAAACTTAATAATGAAATAATATTTTAATATGTTTATGTAATGTGTAAACCCAATACACCATTACCATACCTAGGCTACCAATAAATTCTTGCAACCAATCAAGATCAAGCACAATATGAAATGAACAACCTGACAAACAATCAAGAGGTTTGTTTTAAATAAAATTTAAACGCTCTATAATTTGAAAGTTCTGGAGACCAATACGAAACATACACTCGATTTAATGTGTTATTGAAAAACTGCATGATATCCTGCATTTCATGGAAAAATAAGGAAAAGTACAATAATATATGCGAAGTATGTAGCTCAGTGAATAGATTTTCTTTATACTGGAATATACATTGTGTGTAAACCTAAAATAGAATTTAAAGAAAAAAGTAAATTTGAAGACTTTGTGTTTTAGATTATTTTTTTACCGTTGTCCTATCAAGTGGGTAACATTAATTTGTTATCGTTCTTCCATACAAACAGTGTGGGTATTCAGTCTATTTCTTACGTCTCTTGAGGAATGCGGCTACACGTGCGATAACAAATTTTCAATGCATTTTCAGATTTTTTTTATAAAATTTCAACGTTGATATGCACTCTCGAAATATGCAAAGAAAAGGATACATTCGGGACTTACTTTTCGAAATACTTAAGTTTTATTTTTTCTTGTTTGAGGTAAAATACGATTTTATTACTTTTCTTAGAAATCAAATACTGCAACTTCAAACAGATCTTTTCCTTCGTTTATGGATTTGCAAAGTATTCCTTAGCCTCGGTTAATAGGCCTTAAAGATATTTACCAAACGCTAGATTTTCTGGACTATATACTTAAAATAGAATTCAGAGGAACAAGTAAATTTGAAGACTTTATGTTTTAGATTACATTTTTACCGTTGTCCTATCAAGTGGGTAACATTAAGATATTTACCAATCTGTAGTTTGAATGTGAAAGCATATATACAATTAGTTTTAACAGAAAGCGGTAGACAATTGTCTCCCCAATACAAATGCATACAGAAATAAACTCCCTTGATTTTGTTATGCAATTTTGATATAACATTCTTGAAGCTGTGTATCTTAATTACAACAGAAATAAATTGGGGAATATGTGCTTATTTTTTTTAAGCTAAAACAGAAAACGGAGTTATAATTATAAATGCTGGAGATCTCATTTTTCTTTTTGACACTAAATTGCTTCGCATTGATTTCTTTATGCAACACCGTCACGAAGTTATTTCAACAATTCATTAATTATACGTTATGCGAATCTATTATTTGGCCTTTTTAACTTTTTTTTTATTCGAGCGTCACTGATGAGTCTTTTGTGGACGAAACGCGCATCTGGCGCAAATACAAAATTTCAATCCTGGTATCTATGATGGAACTTATTTAAGATAGAAAAGTCAACAATATTCATTTGCCTGGAATTGTATGCACACTGCAGTAAATTGTTATGCTTACATATACAGCATCTTCATGTTCCTTTCCGACTGTTTCCAAATTCACGTTATATAGTAAAGTTGTGAGTTACCAGCTTCGTAAGATGAAAGACTTATTTAACAAATGTTGATTTAAGATTTTGTAGTTTGGATTGTTCATAAATCTTGTATGAGGTTAGGAATGCCCTTTACCGTCAGGCGACAAACGGTCATTTTCGGCTACCGCTTTAACGTCAAATTGGTTAAAATTTTCACGTGACTCGTCAAAATATCCTTATCGTGATTCGTCAGAGGTCTCAAATAATAATCCGTTACCGTTAATTTTGGAAAGAATTCACAAAATCAGTCGATTTTTTAACGTCATGCACCAAAAATTACCGTTAACGTCATTGGCAAGTTTTTTTTCTGTTATTCGTCATAACGGTACTCCCATTACGACCCTCGTGTATTGTTGATAAACTTGAGGTTCAAAATATGTGTTCAATCAGTGAAACAAGAACGACAACTCAATTGTTCAAAGATAAAAAAAAATCGTCAAGCAGGTGCTAAATATCTTTTCTCCTCACTGTCTCGTCGACGTTTTACGCCAGATCTTTTATTTCCGTACATGAAGGAGAAGCCATTTGTTTCTTTGCTTCCTTGTTTATAAACACACCATACGATGAAACATTGACGTCCTCAGGTTATGTCTGTTGATCTACAAATAATCCTTGTAAGCCATTACAAAATAAACAGGAGTTCAATGACATACTTGAATTCCTACACTCAAAGAGACCCCGTAAAGTTATAAAAGAGAGGCAGAAGATAACAAAGGGATATTTAAACTCATAATTCGGTGGTGTCACATTCCAAGAAAAGATTCCACAGTTTAAACATATTTGTTGTTGTCTGTAAAACAGATAGTCCATAACGGTACACCAACTCGAGATGGCGTAAACAAAATTTCGAAGGGATGAATTCAACTTTACCACTTGAAACCATTGGTCAAATAGCTTCCTTTGTAAGCAGTAACCCTCTATCGAGAAAATCATGATAGCAGACGCAAGGTCTGTACCATTGTATCAACTGACAGATTTATACTCCATATGCAGGCTCTACTAGAATGTTGCTACCTAGAAATGGAAAGTTTAGGAAAGCTTAAATCATCTCTTTTAATTTGTCGTAAAGTTTCGTTTTCAATCGACCCTCATTGTTATTTTCCGGAGTACCTTAGATTACCCCCGGGTTTTTTTGGCAGGGTTTGTGTTATTCAGTCTTTAGTTTTCTATGTTGAGTTTTTATACTCTTATTTGTCTTTTGGTCTTTTTATTTTTTTGCCATGTCGTTGTCAGTTTATTTTTTACCTTTGATGAGGTTGGGTGTTCCTCATGACTTAACTGTATTTATGATACTCTTTTTTTCTAGTTCGATGGGATAGCTATAGATGCGTTCAACATAAGCATCAAAATTTGAATTATTTAGTGAGAGGCCATCATCTATATAACGGAACAACTTCAGTACACCAGCAAACATATACGTCATTTGGTCTCGTTTGGATAGTTGTCTCATTGGCAATCATACCACTAGCTTCCCATATTTTATGTGAATGCATTATAAAGTTTAATGCATATAATTATCAATAGAACTCTATCTCTGACGATATTGTTGTATGCTATAAAAATTTCTTAATTTAGGTGAAAACGGTCTCGTTTAGAATTTCTTTTGACGTGATAGCAAAAGTATTCCCTTTTTTGAAAAAGACAAGAAACAAGTACCTAAAATAACAACAGTTCATTTAGATAAAAGCATGTGTGAATTTTTTTAACCTCTCAGTGCCCCCTATTTTGTATTTACTAAAATTTGGGACTTATGAAGTCGTAAGTCCAATACAGAAATGTACACATTTGTAAAAGTAGTATGCCTTTCATTATCCATTGACATTTATTTTATTTTCTACTTTTTATAGGGGTCAGGACGATTTTTTTGTGGACTGACTATTCATTTTCATCTGTTCCGACGCAGGTTTAATTTTTCCATATGCAGGATATTCATTTTCATAATTCTCCTGTCCCCTTCCCATGGAAATCAAATGGTTGTCCTCTTATGATTTTCTTTTCCAAAAAGTAGTTGAACGTTTTTTTGCATAAATGATTAAATGGTTGGCTACCCTTTCTATTGATTAGTTGGAACATATTTTATATCAGATGTTACTTCGATTTCTGATGAACATTAATGTAAACTGATCAATATTGTTACACATACATGTATGGTATACAAGTTTAATCATATAGTATACATATCTGCAGTCAAACAGGAATACAACAGTTTATTATGTAGGTAAAGTTTAATTCATTTGGAAGAATCGGCTTAATTTGAGTTACACTGTAATGTAAAAATCTGTTTAGCGGTCACGCGTAGTAAATAGTATTAGTATTCATTGTTATATATAATATTTGATGTTGTTTTCACTGTTCAAGCTACATGTGAAACATTGTGGTCAGATTGTTTTTTAAAAAGTATATGGAAACGTATGTTAATAAACCAATCATAATCATGTGCCGTATACCGAACACCTGAAGCTTTAACAGACGCACGCATGGATGAACGGACTGACAAGTCGATTACTATAAGTCTTTCGACGATAAATAGGCGGGGTCTATGTTGAGGATAAATAGATTTCATAGTACCACGGGATATATACATGTACTTGTACGCGTTGGCGCTGTCTGTTTTAGTACGAGATTGGTATCGAGACCAGAATTAAAGATTGATTCGATGAGGATCAAATGTCGAGCTGGAAATAGAGGCGCCATCACAAAATTCTTCAAGAAACTTGATGAGTTGAACACCGACTCCAAGATGGACATTGATACTTCAGGTCCAATTACTGGAGCAATAGTAAAAAATAAAGTGTAATTCTCAAACTGGAAGAACATATCTTGGAAAATACATTAGAAGAAGATATTGGAGTTGAAATCACAGATGCAGATGAGTATATTATCACTGAACTAGTATATATATTTGTTTAGGGGCCAGCTGAAGGACGCCTCCGGGTGCGGGAATTTCTCGCTGCATTGAAGACCTGTTGTTGACCTTCTGCTGTTGTCTGTTCTATGGTCGGGTTGTTGTCTCTTTGACACATTCCCCATTTCCATTCTCAATTTTATAACATAGAATTTGAAACCAATTTACGCCGCTATAAGAAATAAACACACAAAAAAGTACATATACATGTACAGAATTATCTCATGAAAGCATACCCAGCACTCGCCCTTTCATAACCATTCATGAAGTCAATCCGGAAACACGTCCTGTTATGAACACAAAATTCATTCTAAGACTTTCATCACGAATCGGTTCACTGTCAAGTCGACATCACCGCTTGCCGAGGCTAACAGTACCTTCGTTTTCTAGGGACATACTTTAGTAGCAATACTTTTTGGAATTGTTTTAAACCACCATTTACAACAATAACACTCTAACTGATGTACAGAAATTTACTTACCTACAGTGACTTCTTGATGCAGATGTTATGAATTCTATAAATGGTTTGAACTTATCAAGCGCAAATTACCACAAAGCCCCGAAAAAAAGATAAATCGCTTGGGAAAAACAAACAAAAGTGTGGATGCACCCTCATATACATTAGATAGTCTTCGTAATTTTTCTGTTAAGTCACAGGTCTACACCCGTGGATTGGAATCTTTAGGACAATATCAAGACACGTATAATGGTTCCTTGTTGATCCCAGTTATGTTTGGGAAGCTTCATTAGGTAGCAATAAACAGTTAGGAAAAAATATTAAAATTTTCCCTCATAAATTTTACCATCCCCTTTTCATTGCCTTCTTGCAATATAAAGCTTACTGTTTGTGTCATATATGTGCATATGTATGTAATCAGAATCTTCCATAGATTTCATATCCAGTATATAAAATGGTAAAATATAATTTCTTTTTGGTGTATCCATAGCAACAATCTGCATTTTTTTGTTATAAAATATAGCAAAAAGGGGAGAAAAGATGTCACATATTTCCCCAAAATTTGACCAAAAGTAGAATTTCAATCACTTCAAGTAATACCTTTTCTGAAACTGTTAACATATTTCTTTCAATAAATCCAATGAAAATCATATGTCTTTCATCTCATTTTTTTGTAAAATTGCGTCAAAAACTTCGTGTAGAAAAAAAGTGTTTGTAAACATTACATTAATTTCTGGACCGATGACCGGTCTAGCTATGAAAATACGGAGAGTCAAACAGAAAATAGCCCATAAAACATGTAAAAAATAATCTTGATGTTCTTATAAACCACCTTTGAAGGCTAAACTAGTACTCAGCTGTCTAAAAATGAATTTTATTACACAATAACTTTCATATTTGAAAAATCCACCGGGGCCAAAATGCGAAACCAAACTCCTAACTGTGTATTGCTACCTTATACCATAGAAAGTAACATAACAATCGACAACGGAAACGATGGCTGGACACTTGGAAATGTTAGACAGGCCATACAACGAGCAATATCGATCCAAGAAGCCAGTACTAATGGGACTGAAGAAAGTATAATCCTTTTCATGTAGGACTAGGTAAGAGAAATAGTACAATGAATATCTCAAACAAACCAACAACTGCCAACTTTTCCCAAAGTAAAAGGTACATTTATTGCAATGATCAAAATTTCGCCGCGGAATGTAAAAAGTTCACGTATAGTAAATCAAGAATGAAAAGTGTAAAGAAGAGAAATCTGTGTTTCAATTATTTTGGTAACCATGATATATCAGAGTGTCGATCAAAAACACATACGATTAATGTAACCGTACGCACCACACAGTGTGTGTAATGAATCATCCAGTCAACAATCACATAGTCAACATATAAGTAATAGAGAAAATAGCAAACCGATCATGCATACCTCTGCTATTCAGCATAATTTGACCGTCTAATTGAAAACCGCAGTAGCTCCCATATGCTCACAGAATCGGTGCAATGACGCTAATGTAATTTTTGACGAAGGAGCGCAACGATCTTTTATGACACAGGAAATAGCCGACAAGTTGAACTTCAAGCCAGACGGAAAGGAAACCCTCAATATAGCCACCTTTGGAGATTCAGACAAGAATTTTCGCTAAATGAATAAGGCCATAGTATACTTAGACTTGGCAGAGAAAATACTTTACCGGTATTGATTGTACCTACCATTGCAGCGCCGATCCAGAATATTCACCGGTAGCTGGGAACAATTTCAAACGCATCTTGAATCAGTGGTAATTTTATCTGTGATTCATGGACTTTAAAGTTTCAGTAATGTTATTTCTTTTTCATTTCACAGACGATTTTCTTAATTTCGATACATTGACTTTGAAACTTTAATTGCATTAACTCGCGGCCCCGTGTATGTTGAGGATAAATAGATACTTGCATACATTGTAGTACCGCGGGATATATACATGTACTTATACACGTTGGCACAGTCTTTGTAACGTTATGGTATCTATGTGTAAACGTCATATTGTCATCCATCATAAAATTGTTTATTTGTACAGACGTCCTTTTCTACTTCGTATATATACACAACGCATTCTACCCTGTAGGAGCACGAGAGGGCTCTAATTAAAAGGCAAGAAATGCTGCTGCAAAATTAAAAGGCAAGGGCCACCTCAGAATAACCGATTCCGGCTTTCGACAAAACAAGAAATTTGGCGGGATTTATGAAAAATTGTAAGACTATTTTCACAAATGTGTTAGTACGTACGCATGTATGTAGTTATTGAAAACAATATTTTGATAAAGACAATCAAAGATAAGGATATTTGTCTTTCTCTGGTCATTTGCAGAAAATTGCAAGGACTATTCGTTTTCAAACGTCGCATTTAACTTTTAGTTTATATGATTGTACAGTATCAGTCTCCAGTAAAATAGAATACCATTTATCTAACAGAGAAAGTGACAATATATATGAGTAAAGGGATATGCTAGATATACTCGATTAGACAGCAATCCAATAACAAAAAAACATTTAAACAAACAAATATTTCATATGAGCATAAAATAAGACATAAACATTGATTTCAGCTATGAAAGCATAATATAATGGCGTTTAGCCAATGTTTTTTTTTCAACCAGCGCAATGGCTACCATATGTCCATCATATTTGATTTTTGTTTATTATGTTGGGTTTTGATTGGTTTTTATTTTTTTATTTCTCGGCAGGGGGGGGGGGGGGGGTGAATCTTTCACATTTTGTCATTTAGGGACCTTTATAACTTACTGTGCGATATGGGTTTTGCTCATTGTTGAAGGCCGTATGGTGGTTTCAGGTTTCTTCTATCTTCGACATTTGGTCTCTGGTGGATAATTGTCCCTTTGGTAATCATACCATATCTTCTTATTTTTATATGGTTCATTATAATTTCAATGTGCCTTAAGTTTACAGTAGATGGATTTGCCTAGGTCTTCACATGTTTCGCTTCTTATACATCCTTGGCTTTTAAATATTTGGTTTTAAGAATTCATGATGAAGGTTAATCCAGAAAAAATTTCAAGTGTTATTTCGAAAGCCATATTTATGAATTATCATTTATTAGAACACAATATCATTCCTTTGTAAACTTATGCACCAGCGAATGGGGTAGCCCAAGCCAAAACGCAGTCATGGATACCGTTGACGGTCAACGAATTCAAGTCATTATGGGATGACTATTTGATATTCTCAGGATGGGGAATTGGGGCAGAAGGATTTTGGAAATGAATGTTCTGGTCTTGTAAATAACTTTGCCAAAGAAGTGGTGAAAACAAATATTTTGTCCAACAAAATGCAGGACAATGCAGGAAATAAGTGTGAATGAAAATAAGTCGTACTTGCAAAAAATGAAAACGAATATTGAATCCGAAAAAAATCTCCTCCTACAGAAGATCAAATGGTCATACCCTAAGGACTTGAATTAGTTGACCGTCAACGGTATTCATAGTATACAACATGTGCTTGGTTAGGCACTCATCCATGACCAGTTAGGCGGAGCATCCAGTCTGGTTAAAAAAGGTCATACGTCATGAAATCGTTTCGATTTGTGTAAGGAACGGAACATTATGTAAAATATATTAAACGAAATAAACAACCTTCTAACAAAGTCGTAGATGCATCGATAAAAAAGTTGTGATATTCTATTAACTTTAAAAGTTGTCCACAGAGAGCAAGAGTACATGTATAGTAATATGGTGTTTTTTTTTATTTATTGTGGTGTTGGGGACGGGGATGGTAGGCGGTTTTTTTTAATTTATTGTGGTGTTGGGGGACGGGGATGGTAGGCGGTTTTTTCAATCATCTTAAACTTATTTTGAATAGGAAGGTAGTTTATATCTCATTAGTGATTATGTAACATTTTCGCTGACTAATATACACGATAAAGTGAAATAACCTTTTTATACTTCACCATAATTATGTACTTTAGAGACACTATCAATGCATCTCTGTAGCCGGCAAACTATATTTAATAGAAATAAAACCTGATCCTTGTTACCGACAATCATGTAGTTTAATAATTATAGCAATAATGTTCTACTGTTATTGTACACTCATCATTTTCTGTGGTTAGAACATGAACATTTTCATATACTTTTTGAGACTACCTATATCTACACTATACACGTGAGTTACTGAGATAATATACTTGGCCCCTTAAAACACATGTATACTATTATGATTCATTCCATTGATATATAGTAAATAATCGTTCAGATGCGGATTTATTATGTAAACTATTCGTTCCATTTCTTCCACTTAGCACAATTGTTCATCATAAATGTTTTGTATGTAAAGTGTTTACATTGCATCTAGATCCGAATCTAGCGGAAGTTGGTGTTTCAGTTTGTGTCATTGAAACTCTTTTTGAGAAAACCTTTCAATTTGCAGGTATATGCACTTCCTAAAATGTCGTGCAGTCAAAAACTGAAAAAAAAATCATAACCTATTGGGACAGCTATATACAACAGTGTTTGGTTATGTGCAAATATATACAATGTGAAAAGAAACCAAGGGACAGTCAAGAACAATAATTCAAAAAAGTAGAAGATACAATTACAAAACTCGAAGAAACAAACACTTTACAGAAAACTAAAGACCGAGGCTGAACTTTGGACTGGAAAGCAGGTTCTGTTCCATCAGTGGTTCAAGTCGTCTTCCTCATGAAAAATTATTAACCGGTGATGTTTCTCCGTCTCCGACTCTGTTTTTTTTTTTTTTTTTTTTTTTGTGTGTGTAATATATTGTGGACTGTTGTTTTTTTTTTCTTCGTTTTTCCTTTTGTTCATGACGTTGTCTGTTTTTCTTCGATGGTTTTTGATTGACTGTCCTTGGAATCTATTTTTCTTAGATCCATTTCATTGCTTAAAAGGTTATTGGTCCCTGAATTCACAAAAATGTCCCACCAACGTTGATGGAGCGGGCCGTTATATAATTTCTCGTTTGAGTTGTCTTATATTTGTCATGCCGAAGCCTTCAATTTATATAGTTTTGTAATTATTATTAAGATTCACTCATGGGGATCTTTGCATCGGAAATAAACACATTTATTTTAAAACCAGTTGTTGGCATGATACGGGTTATGTTATTCCCGTATATTTTATGATGGTATAATACTAAACCCCTAACGGGTGTGATTGTGCTTGATTTTCATATGATGAAGACATAATCTTTCAATCAGTTTAATTGAGGCCTTGAGCCTACATGTCAGTAACTGAGAGTAGTCCTTTATTTATTCGTGTTGATCATTGTCATTTTGCTAAGTTTCTTCTGTTACCTAATCTAACATCGGACTCGGACTTCTTTTAAACTGATTTTTATTATGCGTACCGCTGTGTGTTGGTTTATTCTACATTGGCTAGAGGTATAGGGGAGGGGTTGAGATCTCACAAAACATATTTAACCCCACCGCATGTTTGCGCCTGCCCCAAGTCAGGAACCTCTGGCCTTTGTTAGTCTTGTATATATTTTTTTTAATTTTAGCTCATTTATATGTATCGGAGTTAAGTGTGACGTTCATTTTCGCTGAACGACTTTACATTATCATTGTCTAGGGGCCAGCTGAAGCCCACCTCCTCGTGCGAGATTTTCTCGCAGTTTTGGCCTTTGGCTGTTTTCTGCTCTTTGGTCGGATTGTTATCTCTTTGAACCTTCCCCGTTTCTCAATTTTATTTGTTATGTGGTTTCAGTTTAGCTCATTAACAAAAGGCCGTACGATGGCCAATATAGTTGCTGCAATACAATACAACACAATAAAACAATGCTTTATTTTAAACACTCTGTCACATACACACAACTCTATGTCACATACACACATGTGAAACAAGAGGTAAACAAAAACATAATGCAGTCACATGAATACCCGGAGATCATAGAAAGAAATAAAACAAAATTGTAAAGGAATATATCAATAATTTATAAAATTGTCTTTACGATATAATACTTTAACTATTTTTGAAACGAATAAGAATACATTTTTGGTTCTTTTATATTACACAACAAAAAATAATCCTGTCATTTGAATATTTTACATTGTACTCCAGAATTTGTTGTTTTCTGATATTTTTTAACTTTAATAACAAACAAAAAATTAAATAACAAAAATACCCCCCCCCCCCCCCCCCCCCTTTCCAACAAAATAATCCAAGGAAATTCAAAACAGAGTCCTTTATAAAATGGCATAATCAAAAGCTCAAAAACATCAAAACGAATGAAAAACAACTGTCATATTCCTGACTTGGCACAGGCATTTCCTTATGTAGAAAATGTCAGATTAAACCTGGTTTTATAGCTAGATCACATTGGGATGGTATTCATTATCATTAGGATTTGAATACATATGACATACCCTCACTTCTTTTGGAATATTGTACCACCTAACATGATCTGCTGAATATTTCAAATTGCAGCATTTCAATTTAAAAATATATTCACGTTCGATGGGTGATAATTGTACAAAAAAAAACTTTTCTAAACGAAATATTGTTTTCAACTGACCGTCAAATTCACCACTGGAAGAATAGACAATTTGACTATCCCATTTTTGAATGTATTCATCTTTAAGGTTTTGGTTCAGAACTGTTTTTCAATTGATTTGCATCTAATTGCAATTGCTGAGTCCAAACATAGATAAGTCCGGAATTGTCTAAAACAGATTTTAGATAGCTATAACTAATCTTATTTTACCCACCAAAGTATACATTCACGATATGTTTGTCATAAGTAAACATTTTTATCACAAATATATATGTTGTTCTGTTTCTTATCTTCAGAATGACTTTAGGTTTCTCTTTTTTAATTGCAGAAAAAAGATGCTCGTTAAAATTGTTTTATTATTACTTCCATTGGCTTACGAAACTACTCCTGTACCTCCAAGACCGTTGGGATTTATTTATGAACCACAAAGCAGCAGTGTTGCACCAGTCGAATTTGATGTCTACATGGGACCTCTTTGTCCGGACAGTAAAGCTGCATTACCAACCTTAGTAAAACTTGCAGACCATTACGGACCAGAAAAGTTGAGATTCCGCATGCATCTGTTTCCTTTACCGTATCATAGAAACGCTTTCCTTGTTGCTATGGTAAGTTCTGATTATTCTATAAGTTAAGAACCTCAATTAAGTAATTTTCATAAGGAAGGGTAGGGGTTGTGCCGAAGAAAAAAATAGTTCGATGCTCCGATTTTTATGTGATATTTTGAAAATATATCGGTAAAAGAAGAAAGGTTACGAATTATATGCGGCCGAAGCGTTTTTCTGGATTTGCCATCATCAAGAACACTCAAATCCAAATAGGTAAAGGCCAATGAAGTATAAATACCGAAACACGTGGAGAACTTAATGATCAAAAGGGACCTAATGTATCCACTCTAGCCCTACCTGAATTTGGAAGCCTGAACAGAAACAACTAGAGGTTCTAAAGAGCAAGTGTCGCTCACCTAGGTCTATGTGTATAATCAACAATGGACTCTCTCCAATGTTGTAGACGCGAATATATAGAATTCATGACGAAAAAATTACAAACATTTCTTTTTAGTTGACCTTGTTTTGCTGATCCATTTGTCTGCTTAGTTTTTCTCTATCTTCTTTAGTTTTTGCTAGAAACACAAAAGAGGGTGGATCTTTGTTATCTAAAGTTTCTATTTATCTATATATATTTTTTATCATATAAGGAAAAACGCAAAAACATTGGAAAAAATCGTCATCAATGATGATGGGAGTCTTTAACGACCTTGACTGGCTATACAGCCCTCGCACGGTCGGTCATCATCGTCATCAAGGGGCAATAATTCCAATAAGGAGTCGTCATTAAATTTCCTCAATATTGTCTTAAATGAAGATCTTGTCGTGCTGATCATATTTGATTATTTAAGTTTCTACCTATATCTTATAATTTTAAAGATATAAGGCAAACACGCAAAACAGTAGTAAAAATCGTCATCCAAGGGCAATAACTCCCTTTGGGCCAGGTGAGCTAATAGATAGGCACAAAAGGACATAGGATGGCATAATCAAATCAACATACGCTCATATAGTTCCGTAAGTTCAGGCATGTGAAGTGTGTCTCTAGCTTTGTATTGAATAACGGCTGAGGGTAAAGTTCTTTGTAATGAATAAAAAAAAAAAATGTCTGAGAAATAAGGTCGCTTTGATCACTGAGTATAAAATTACCACTGAATTCGTGATGATAACCATGCTACTGTAGATTCAGAAATATCGGAGCGCATTTGCAGTCTTTCTGTGGTTATGATGGTAGTTATGCTGATATATATATAATAACTGTGGGAGTTGTTGTGTCTGATATTGCTGTATATTTAAAGGAACCGGTTAGCCTAAACAAATATCAGAGAAATCGGATGGATACAGTTTTGATTTACAGTTTTATGTCGAAAACAATCAATGTTCAAGTAAAAACAAAAACAAAACAAAACAAACAAAAAATCAAACTATACTCCCTTTACTACCACAACAACATATAGTGTCGAGGAAATAGCCATCAGCTCCGATATTTGTCATTTCGATATAACAGCATGCAATATATTTGTATAATGCATTACATTATTTATTCAACAGGGAACCCATTCAGTAGACAAGATGACCAACGGAAATATGACATTTATCTGGTCACAAAATGTATACAGTCATCTTGATATATTTTATGATAAGACACTTACCGAGGACCAAGTTATATCGTATGTACATCATTTAGTACCGTTATATTTGATAAAGTATTGTCAATGAATAGCAGTGTATTTAAGGTTCATCATAACCTTTTAGGAAATATGGCCGTATTTACACCACACATATCACTCTAAGTACAGAAAATCCTGTGCACCTGGAAAAATTTTAGATCATGGCTGGACCTAGATATATAAAATGTAAATGCATTTCAAATTTCAGAATATTAAAGACAAATTAACTTGGATGGAGAGTTGTCTCATTGGCACTCATACCACATCTTCTTATTTATATTAACTGAATTTTACCCTTTTTAACATTAGCCTTTCCTCGCAATCTACAGAGATTGATTGATTGGTTGGTGTTTAACGCCACTTTTAACACTATTGTGCTATTTCGTGGCGATCGGTTTATTGGAAGAGGAAGCCAAGAGTGCCCGGAGAGAACCACCGACCTTCGGCAGGAAAACTGACAATCCTAGTCAATAAAGATTGGAGTCGAGCGCACCTGCCATGTGTTGCAGTGTTAACTTTACAGACTAGTGATACAGTAGTTGGACTTCTTAAACTGCTCGGCCACCGAGGCCCCAATCTAAAGAGAAAGTTTCACATAATCTCGGTTGTTTATATACCCGAAAGCTATTAATCAATTGGAATTTGATTTGAGTGAAATCTTTCTTCAAATTCTAAAAGACAGCCTCCGAAAAATAAACTGTTTACGACTTTATATTTTCTTGAATTTCTGTAATTTTTACACTTAGTCTAGTAAAAAATTAAACGGATGGATAAGAATACTTAATAAATGCTAAAAGCATTTTGTTGAGGTTTCTGTTGACAAGTACCACTAAACGATAAATACTTGTGGGTATCAATGAATGGTTGTATTTGGAATCAAAAAAATAAACCCTGAAATATGGTGTATAGTTGCATCTGTTAATCTGCTCATATACTATTTTTACCATTAAATCGACTCTGCGAAACATGGAGAAGGAAAATTATATTCAGTTCTATTGTTTTAATTTTTGATTCCCTAAGCTTCTATAATCATCTTGTGCATTGTTTAAAAAAATTGTTCTTTTTTTTCTAAAGGAAAATGGTAGAGCTAGCAAAGAGCATGGGATTGCCAGAAGTTAAATTCAAACAGCTGGCAACAAATAGTCGAATCAATCACGAGTGTCGAGTCGAATGGAAACATGGTTGTTCGAGTAAGCATTATACTTTCCTCCTAATAAATGTTTAAATCTGAAACAGTGGATAATTATTCAACTTATGATATCTACACAACTGCATGTATACTGCTGATCATTGGCCCAGTCATTATCTAAAAATAAAATTAGGGATTATCTTTTTTATCATTATTCCTTTTATCTCCAATCTTATTTCAAAATAGCGTTTCGTCCTTGAATCTTATCTATGAATATACGACATATACATGTATGGTTGTCGCAGATAAAATAACATCCCCCAAAATTAATATTTTATGGGCAGCCAAAGGTGACGCCTCAAATCTCTCGTTGAATTGAAAATATGATAAAAACGAGCGCACAATTTTTCTCTTTTTTTTGATTGTCCTAGTTTCTAAGTGTCTTTTGTGCAATACAGAACTTAAAGGGGCATTAGCTCTCAAATTCTCATATTTGATTTATAACATACTTAAACGTATATCCAAATTACAAAAAATCTAAAATAAACAATTTACATGCTTTAACACGATTAATATATACATGTATCAGCATTTCGTGTGTATTTTAGTCTAGACGCCATCTAATTAACCATCGAGGTGACCTCCGAAAGACTGCCGATGGTCATATAACCCGATATAAACATAAACATAAACATAGATAAAAATAGATAGCGAACTCGTGCAATTGGATTTTTCTAGGTCGGTTTGATTTCATATTATAGCTTTAAAACATATGTTAATAATCGTTTTTACCTGAATAATAAGGAATTCTTATAGATCGAATCAGTCAACCAAATGGTTTGCCCTTGTTTCACTTCCAATGTTAACATTCTGTTCTTTTTAATAGATAAACACGCCTAGTTCATGCGTAACCTATATCTAGCTAAGGGGTTCAGTTGAAGTTCATATGAATACGGATTTAATGAGCCGAATTATTCACTTGCAAGTGAATAATTCATTAGCAATGCTTCTTTGCTTATTTTGACAAAACTGGACCAAACTGGCTGCTAAAAACGAAATATTATATCACTATTTCACTTTCATTAATGATTGAATAAAAACAAAATATGATTTTTTTTCTATATCTCGTAGCTAATGCCCCTTTAAAGTTGCATGGTGGCAGAGTTATTAAGTATGGCCATTAAAACGTTTAAACCCGCTGCAATGTTTGTTGATGTGGTTCATAAGTGTTTCTCGTTTCTCGTTTTTTATATAGATTAGACCGTTGGTTTTCCCGTTTGAATGGTTTTACACTAGTAATTTTTGGGGCCTTTTATAGCTTGCTGTTCGGTGTGAGCCAGGGCTCCGTGTTGAAGACCGTACTTTGACCTATAATGGTTTACTTTTATAAATTTTGACTTGGATGGAGAGTTGTCTCATTGGCACTCATACCACATCTTCTTATATCTATTAAATTCATTCACGATTTAAAGCTGTGCATATGGTACAGACAAGATCCATTAAAATAGGATGTTGACCTGTAGGTGTCTTTTCGTATTTGTGCTGTTGATTGTTGTTACCCTGCGTCAACTTGTCATTTTTTCAAGAAAAATGCGGTTTCCCATGTATTGTCTTTTTAAATTAAGGAAGTCTTAGATTTTATGATATATTGGATAGGTTTTTCCGTATTCTCATTATTGGGATCTTCTTGCGCTGTGCGCGGTGTGTGAGTTTAAGCTGATCGTTGAAACTCGCCTGTGCTGATCTTGAGTTGTTTGCATAGCTTTTGCTCTATTGGAATAAAATCCTAGTATGTTAATCCACTATATATCTTACAATGCTTATATTCACCAGTGTTCAATTTTATTTAGGGGGAGTAACTTCAACTCCGACGTTTATGATAAATGACATTATAGTGGCAGAAGACGACCAAGCTAACAGGTCTGAAGCTGACTGGATTAGAATTATCGACCCAATACTTAACCAAGTGTAAAAGGTAATAATAAGCTTTTATGATGCAGTCTTTTATCTTGCATAATTTTAAGTAAATGCATTTTTTGGTTCAAAACAATGTTCGTTCGTGAGTTCATAAATCTAAAATCTTCAAATACGTACATTTTGATATCAAATAAGTGTATAATGCAAAGCATTCTATAATGACAGGTTGTATTCTTCTGCATGATAACAGTTCAATTTTGAAAGACAAAAAAAAAACACATTTTAATTGCTTAACGTCTAATGGCAAACAGTTCAAAAAGATTTGTAAAGTGGTTCGAACGGGTTCAGGGTAGGAAATTGAGATTGCCGTCGGGAAATAGGGTTAACATGATAGATAGTGAAAGAAAATTTGAAACAGGCTACCTACGGACTTCTCAGGGAGTTGAAAGGACTCTTTTGCGAACATAGAGTATACTTGGTATCAAATTAAACGTTCTCATTCCCATAGGAAGAGGTTCCGTATTTATACAACCCGCTCAGCAAAACGGAACCCCCCTTTCGCTTGGTTCATTGTCGGATGGCAGAAGTCCAAGTAACCATATTTAATAAACCAAAGTCGACACTTGGGGTCAACGAAAAATAAGCAGAGACAAGTAATACATGTTTCCACATTAAAGGAGACAATACCAAATTTACTAATATGAATGATCTGCCAGTTATTTACAGTGTTTTCCTCAATTAGATTGTTTATGTTAATACATCTGATTCAAAGGAGGGGTATAGTACGTAGGTAAATGAGACGACAGCCCAACGACATAAAAAAAACATACAGATCGAGAGGACACTTAAGTACAGATTGATATTTAGATTTTTTTATTGAATTTTTGATTGATTGATTGATTGATTGATTGATTGATTGATGAATGGATTGATTTATCTGTAAAAGCATATTAATGAATTTATTTTTCATTTTAGGTGCAGTCGAAAATTGCGATGGAGAATAACAAAATCTTCTTCATGCATTGTTGTACTAATATCTACATGTATTAAATAGTTGAAAATCTTACATCGTGACTTGTCAATAACGCTCACTAATTCATTTGGTAAAAACTAAACCGTCTTTCAGTTATAGATATTGCTGAGTTTAATTGTTCCGATTGCAGTTGTCCTTCTTGTGAGTTTCTTTTTTGATTTCGATGCATACATGTAGAGCACACAGGTAGCGTAATGATTATGTGACCTTATGAATACAATGAAACATATTTTTTTTATAGAAAATTCTAATTGTTCTAAAATTAATGTTGCAACTCTCTCAGGTAAAGTTGGCCTTTTTTGTGATTTATGTTCTTTTGCTTTTATGATCTGAACGGTTTTTTTTGTGCTTTCCAACCTTTTTTATAACGATATTTCCAAATGGTATTTATTCCCAGAAACACGTGTTGTGCGCATTGACATATTATTTGTGTCCGGGCTGTGTTCCTTTTCAAGATAACTGTCATTGGATGTTGAATATAGAAAAAGAAGATGTGGTATGATTGCCAATGAGACAACTCTTGAAACTTTTTCTTGTCCTAACTTTTAGAATTATGTGTCTAAATATTGAGCTGATATTATTTTAACTAATTGGTGCATTACAGTCAGTAGCAGATTTGATCAAAACGATCTAGAAGTTTTCTTCATTTCACGAATTTATGGTGATATTGAGTGCCCTTTAATGTATTTTCCATACCAACCACACATTTGGTACTCCTCGGCAAGTCCCTATCGCAAAGTTTACAACCGAACCTAGCTCATTTGAAAGGTATTGAGCCAGGCTATTCTCCACTTAAATATTTTTTCTGGGATCCCGGCTCGTCTGGCCACCACATTAGTTCAAAGCTGCCCCTTAACGTACACTGTTTGTTTAATAAAAAAAAATGTACAAATTAAAATCATTTTCTATTCCTACATAATTTCTGTACCTCCAAATCAAAAGGAATAAAAAAACGAGAAAAAGAACGTAAAAATACGGAAGCCGATAAGGGCCATTCAAAAAAAAAAATTATGTCGTAATAACGACATAACATGTCGTAATTTCGACATAACATGTCGTTATAACGACATCGCTATGTCGTAATTTCGACATAACATGTCGTTATTACGACATCACTATGTCGTAATAACGACATCGCTATATATATATAAGAATATGTATTATGATTGCCAAAAGACTTAATGACACAGAAATTAACAACTATAGGTCATCATAATGAGAAAAGCCCCCGCATAGTCAGCTATAAAAGAGGGACGAAAGATACCAGAGGGAGAGTCCCCGTCATGACAGCTGTTTAATAATTTAATTCAAACGAGTGAAAATAACGGTTTTAATAATGTACAAACAAAGACCGAAAAACGAATATGTAACACAACAACAAATGACAACCACTGAATTACAGACTCCTGACCGCAATGTGATAATAACGGCAACCTTATAGTTAACTTTTCACTTTTTGATGCGATAGGCATTTCAAAATGGTTGTCAGTAAAGGCAAAGTTTGTAGCGGAAACAAATTCATCTTTTTTTTTTTTAGAATAATGAACACTATATGCAATCAAGCTTAATTAAAGTTATTCACTTGCACCTCAGACTTGCACATACTAGAACTTTATTTATAATCAAGTCAAATGAGACCCAGTTGAATAGGGGAGCAATTCAAGCTCCTTAGAGCCTCAAATTATGTTTGGCATGTACAGATTTGTGTAAATTATGAAGTCCTGCATTTCCATTGCAGGTTCTGAATAAGATGAATTTTAAGCTTTTCCCAATAAAGACTATGTTAAACTTTGGACTCATAGTGCTCAGACCCACGGATCTCTGTACCTTCATTTGTACACACTTGAATCTTAATGTACAGTAACTACTGAGGCTATTGTTGGTTCTTAATGAGATTCTTCAAGCGTCCTCCCCATTGAAGCCCTATTAAAACTTTGTACCCCAAGTTCTTTTAACCACTGTTCCCCAGGGCAACTATTCCTACAAACTTAAGGGGAGGGTTAGGATCCCGCTAACATGTTTAACCCCGCCACATTCTTTATATCTTATCTTATGTATGTGTATGTCCCAAGTCTTTAATTTACATATTTGTTTTTTCGTTTATTTTTGTACATAAAATAGGCCGCAAGTTTTTCTCGTTTGAATTGTATTACATTTGTCATTTCGGGGCCTTTTATAGCTGACCATGCGGTATGGGGTGTGATCATTGTTGAAGGCCGTACGGTGACTTTAATTGTAAATTTCTGTGTCATTTGGGTTCTTCTTGAGAGTTGCGTTTTTGAACAAACCAGCGTATCCCAAGGCCTTGATAACCTCTGTAGGCCCCAAATAAAACGAAAAAAACATCAAAATTGGAGAACAAACTGAAAAACATGGTTTCTAACCTCAGGGATATTAACCCTTGGCTATCTTAGATTTAATGCAATCAGTATGCATTAGCATCAGGGTACAGCTCATTTGCATATCATTTGCATATTTTTACAAATACTCGAAATTGAGACAATTTCTGATAACAATTCAGCATGCCAAGGGTTAATATCCCTGAGGTTAGAAACCATTTATATTCAGTTTTCTCTCCAATTTTGATGTTTTTTCGTCTTATTTGGGGCCTACAGAGTTTATCAAAGCTTTGGGATACGCCTGTAATTCAGTGGTTGTCATTTCTTGCTGTGTTACATATTCGTGTTTCGGTCTTTGTTTGTACATTATTAAAACCGTTATTTTCACTCGTTTGAATTAAATTGTTAAACAGCTGTCATTTCGGGGACTCTCCCTCTGGTATCTTTCGTCCCTCTTTTATAGCTGACTATGCGGGGGCCTTTCTCATTATTGAGGGCATTATGATGACCTATAGTTGTTAATTTCTGTGTCATTTAGTCTCTTGGCAATCATAATACATATTCTTTTATATATATAGCGATGTCGTTATTACGACATAGCTATGTCGTAATTACGACATAGTGATGTCGTAATTACGACTTGTTATGTCGAAATTACGACATAGCGATGTCGTTATAACGACATGTTATGTCGAAATTACGACAAAGCGATGTCGTTATAACGACATGTTATGTCGAAATTACGACATGTTATGTCGAAATTACGACATAGTGATGTCGTTATTACGACATGCTATGTCGTAATTACGACATAAACATTTTTTTTTTAATGGCCCTTATCGGCTTCCGTATAAAAACGATTTTGATTTGTACATTTTTTTATTAAACAAACAGTGTCCTCCGAAATATAAGTTGCTGCTAGCATCATTGGTATATAAAACGGATTTTCATCTTTTGAGAATCACGACTATCCGTGAAAATGTCGATTTCTGCTGTCACAGGATGTGCTATTATATTTATCTAAGATTTTTATAACGTTTGAGTCTTACACAGTTTTTTGGTTTTTAAACATATCGAAACTTAACGTAATTCCAGCAATTTAGTATGGTCGGATGATTAATGTCTTTTTAAAACATGTTGTGTTTGGATAATTTGAATTTAATTATTTACAAATTCAAGGGGTCAAACACTGGCCTATTTACAAATTCAAGGGGTCAAACACTGGCCTTATTACCGTGGAATAAGTATTGGAAGCTGATTAGGAAAGCTATTTACGAAAATATTGCAATATAGAATATCTAATTACCTTGAAGAAAACAATTTAATTGAAGATAACCAAGCCGGTTTTAGGCAAGATTATAGAACTACAGATCAAATATTTATCTTAAAAACAGTGTTAAATAAATACTTACATAAGCTAAAGAAACACCTATATTTGTATGTTTCGTTGACTTTTGTAAGGCATTTGATTCAGTTTGGAGAGAAGCTATGTATTTCAAATTAAGAGAAATTGGAATAACAGGGAATATCTTTATAATGTTATAAAAAACATGTATTCTAAAACATTTTTCTGCATTAAACAAATAATTTTAAAACCAATCCAATTAAAAATGATAAAGGTGTCAAACGAAGAGACAGTCTTAGCACTGCATTATTTAATATTTTTTTAATGATTTAGGTAACTGCTTTGATGACAAAATCCTATCCATTAGATCTATGAAATCATAAAATCAATCATCTACTATTTGCAGATGATCTGTTACTTTTATCAGAAAATAAAGAAGGTCTACAACATTGTAATAAAACCAAAATAATGAATTTAAGCAAAGGTAAAACAGATAATTCAAAATATAATTTTTATCAAAATAATTCACAAATTGAAATTGTGGAAAGATACAAATATTTAGGCATTGTATTGTATTTCAATGGTAATCTTAAACATGCCGCAGATGATCTCTATAATAAAGCTCTAAAAGCCCTTTTCTCTGTTAAAAGTAAATGTAATAACTTCCAAGAGGTACTATTGAAAACCTGTCTTAAACTTGTTGGTAGTCTAATTAAACCTATTTTCACATATGGTAGTGAAAAATGGTTATCAGATTATAACATAAATTTAAATAATTTTGACAATCTACCAATAATTATTGATAAATTACAACACAAGATGTTGAAATCTATCCTGGGGTCAAAAGAGAGTCATCAAATATGGCTAGTAGACTTGAATGTAACAGGAATCCAATGTTGATTTTCTCATTATGTTTAATGTATAATTATTATATGAGACTACTTAAATAAATTGAGATAGAATATTATATAGTGCATTTACTGCAGATCAAGAATTATCTCAAGAAATGCTGGTTTTCTTCCCTAAATAAAATATTTAAAGTACTTAAACTTGATACAAAAAATTTGACAGATAATAGTCTTTTTAAAAATAGTCTAATAAGATATTATAATCAGCAATCTGACTCACAACTATAAAAAAATCAAATCTGGAGCTGTGGACAGTGAACTGATGCTTTTCATTAATATTTTTGTTCAAAATTTTGTTTCCTTCTATCTTCAAACCAATCTTACCAAAAATATAAAAAGTAAAATTACACAACTACGTATCAGTGCGCATTGTTTAAATATAGAACGGGGTAGATATAATAAACCAAAAATTCCAAGAGAACAACGTTTTTGCAAATTTTA